AGAGATAGATGCTATTGTAGATAGGTACGCTAATAATTAATTAATTAGCGAAATTAGGACAAGTTTTATATTTTCCTTTTGAATTAATTTAGAAATGGTGCCATAGTATCGTCTGAAACCCATGGGTTAATACAAGCAAATTGTCGTTTATCTGGTTGGTTATCTAATTTATCTGGTTGGTTATTTCATTTATCATTTTAAATAATGTTTGTTAATCAATAAATTAATTTGAAAATTTTTTTTTAATAAAAAAAACATCTAGGAATGCCTGATCTTACGTTAAATTTCGTAAATCCAAGGGTGTTGGATGATTGTAGTTTTCATCCATGTGTTAGATATAACAAATTTGAAAATGAACGTGTACTTTCTTTTGTACCACCTGATGGTCATTTTAAATTAATGAGTTATCGGGTAAATTTGCCACATCATCAATCTTTACCCGTATATGTAAAACCCCAAATACATATTGGAAACAATGGCGGTATGCTCTCCTTTTATTTGTTGTGGATTTATCACTTATCTTACCAACTTTTTTTTTAAAAATAGGTAAATTTGATATTTCAATTAATATAAGAAATACAGATGGAAAGCCAGTAGAAAATGTTTTATTAGTATTTCCTTTAGCACAATCTGTATCGAATGTAAATGCTACATGTAATCTTGGTTCATATATTTTTGATCCCGTCACAAAAGTAAGTGTACCGAGAGTTTATTTTGTAGTATGCAGTAGAACTGTTTAAAGAGTAAAGTTTAATATAAATTTTTTTTTAAAGAGCATTAGATGGGATTTAGGTAAGATAGAACTTAAAGATAGACCTTTATTATCTGGAAACTTTAATAGTCCGTAAGTATTAAAATAATATTTGTAATATATATACATGTTGAAAATAAGAATTACATATAATTTTTGTTCTTTAGTGAACAAACGCCAGAATCAGGACACACAATTACATTAGAATTTTCAATAAATATGTATGCTATATCGGGACTTAGAGTCGATAGTTTAAAGATATATAATGAAGGATATAAACCATATAAGGTATGTTATGTTAAATTGAACTTTATTTACTTGAATAACATTATGAACTTATAATTTGAATTTAAAAGGGTGTGCGAAGTTTAACTAAAGCTGGAAAGTTTCAAATTCGGACATAGAAATGAGACTAATTTGTATCTCAATTAAAAAAGGAACATTTACACCTTCCTTATTTATTACAAATAATTTTACAAATAATTTTACAAATAATTTTAGAATCAATTGTAGCTTATTTATTAATTGTAAGCACCTATTGGGGGCAATTCTAATTATATTAATTATTGTATTAAAGATTTTGGAGGAGGGGACAGAAAATTTATCAATTGATTTTTGATCCTTGGTTGTATTAATATTCAGATCTATTTTAAAGATTCATCAAAAATGAATTTTACTATAGTATATTTTATCTATATTCAAACTTTTGAGCCATTTTGTAATCATTCATGTGATGTAACAATAAATTCAAGGTATGGTTTGAGAATGTAAATATATTAATTAGAAGAAACTGTCTATTTAGCAGATATATATAAAATATGACTAAGAAAATCATTTGTAATTGCTAAATAATAGCAAAAAACATTACTTTCTTTAACCAATAATAATGATATAAAATCAAAAAAAATAATTATTTTAAATAATAGTATTTTTAAAAATTAATTATTATTAATATACATCAAATTTTTAAAATTTTAAACTTTTAAAAAAAATTTATTATTTAATAAGAAAATAATTATATTTAATCAGAGGGGAAGAGTAGGAGAATTCCTTCCTTACATGATATTATAAGACATTTAGAAATTTTTCATAAAACACAAATTGTTTCTCATTATACAACATCTTCTTGTTATACAAAATTCTTATTATGGAATTAACATATGTTTTTGATTCTTATTCCATTCAAAATGAGCAGAATGTTGAAGAAACAATACTTCATGTTAACAACTCACAAAATTGTATAACTATAATATTATAAATAATACTGATTCTTATCTAAATATACTGAAAACTTCTCTCTAAAATTGTCTTTAGGTCAAACTTTTCAAACTTGAGAAGAAGCTGAAAAGTTTTTGAATAACTATACTTTAGAGAAAGAATTTAGTATAAGAAGGAAACGAACTGAAAATCTAATTGATAATGTTGATAACAATGTTAAAATAGTATGTAAAATTAGTTAGAAATGTAATTATATAGGTAATTATCAACCAAAAAAAGTATTGAACCTAACTAAACAACAAAATCAACTTCTAAGATAACAGATTAATAAAGAATTAATAGAAACTTTTTAAAGGATTCTTCTGTAATTTCATTTACTAATATTGTTAATGAACATAATTATTCAATGATATTTTTACTTTCAACTAATATTGCAAAGTATCATAAACTTAGTAAAGATATGATTCAATTTATAGAGTTTTGTGTATAAAATAATACAACAGGTATTCAAAATATTAATCAACTTTTGAAGAATAAATTTTTAGAACAATCTATTCATTAAAAGAGTCTATATATACTATTCAAGCAGCAAAAAAAAAATTAATATCAAAAGTTGAATTTAATGCTTCAGATTTAATGAGATTTTTTATATTTAAAATGATCTGATGATTCACATTAGTTTATAGAATCTAAATTTGATGAAATAGAAAGGCAACTATATAGCTTATTAGGAATAACATTTGAACAACAATTTTTATAGACACGTTATCATAGCATTCTTTTTTTTGATATCACTTCTCAAACTAACTAATATAATATGATAGCTTGTTTTTTGCTATCATTGATAATTGTAATTATACACAATTTGTTACAACCGCCTTACTCAAAGATGAAACAGAAGAGAGTTTTATTTGAACACTAAGTATGATTAAAAAATGTACTGGAAATCTTTTGCTAAAGTTGTATTTACTGATTCTGATCTAACAATAACTAATGCAATAGGTTTAGAACTTCTTGAATCTATTCATTATTTGTGTATATTTCACATTAACCTAAATTGAAAAAAAACTTTCAGAATAAAATGAGTTCTGATGAATTTAAAACATTTCGCAAAAATTTTTTTAATATAGAAATATATTAGTTTTATCTCTTTTTGAAAGTTGTTAGAATCATTTAAAATCAAACCATATATTAGCTAGTAGTTATATAAAGAGACAATTAGATCTTCTTAAATATAAATAGGCTATATATTATACAAATAATCAATTTTAGCAGATGCAAATAGTACTCAATAAATTAAAAGTTTGAATCGTAAAATTCATGATTGTATTTACTCAAATTTATCACTTTTAACATTAGTAAAGGAAATTTAAAATATATTTGACAAGGAATCAGAATATGTAAGAGTAAAAGAATATAAAGAATAGATTCCTATAGTTGGTCTTGCAACTGTTTCTAAAACATATTTGCTTACATTGAAAAAATTGTTTCAGAATATCTTATATCAGCAATGGTATTTTCAGTTTCTAAGCAAATACAAGAGTGTTTTTATTATAATTGTTATAAAATAGATGTTTCAATAATTAACTCTATAATTCAAGTATGTAATTAATATTATCACTCTCAGTATCTAAAATTCAAATTTTTTTTAGTTGCAGACCCACAACTAAAAAATATGACTTAAATGCAGATTATTAATTTTAGTTGTATATTACTTATCTAAATTTATTATAAGGTTATGTTAATTATAATTTACTTATGACATTTACAAAACAAAAGTAAACAAATTTTAATTTATAATTATTATATTTAAAACAACTTTTATTAAATTTAAATTAAAATTTTTATAAATTATTTATTAAATGTATCTTGATAATCTTTGTCAAACATCAAATATCTTTTTAAATCAAAATCTTTAAGCTTAGGTCAATTTATAATAATTATGAGATAAGAATTAAGAGCTTTAATTTTCATTTGATTATGCACTTTTATTTTAATTAGTTTTTGTTAAGAGAAAATTCTTTTAACATTACTATTTGAAAGAGATTCAATTAATAAGTAATTTACTATTTTTCCTAAATTTAAATAAAAAGTTAAAAATTGAAAACTATTAAAAACTTATATCTATTCATCTACAAAATTAAATTTTTAATAATTTTTTAAAAATAATTTTGCCTTTCGTCATTTCCAAAAAAGCTCAGCCTTATTAACTTTTATAGAAAAATTTTATTCATTTTGATATTTATGATATCCATAAAAATCATCTAATATTTTAATTTTATTTCCTTTATATGTTGTCATTTTATTTTGACTTTGTTGAAATTTGAGAAAAATCAAAGATTTTTATAGCATTATAAATTCTAGTATCTGGGAATCTAAGCTGAAGATTCTTTACTAATGCAATAGTAAATTCTTTAAATGCTTTTGACAATAAATTAGATTAAATATTATTATCAGATATGTATGCTTACAAATGATTTCTATAAGTTAGTAAAATATAATCTATATCATCAAGATCATCACTGTACTTAATAAATTCAATTGTAATTACATTGATTGCTACATTTAATTGCTATATATATCAGATAATGCAACATAATCTAATTGAAATATTTTTATTAAATTCCTGAATGTAAATAAAATATTTATAAGAAACTTTATTGTTAATATAAATTCTACATTAATATCTTTATGTAATATTTAAGCCTGCTATCATATTTTGCTATATATATTATTAATTGTATTATCTTTAAGTGTATCAATTACTGAAAAGATAATTTGATGTAAATTTGAAACAGTATTAGAAAGTAAAAGCCATCAGATATTAATTACACATAAAATTGATAATTGTAAATCTTCATCTAAAATTTGAAACATCTTTAAATATTATCATCATTGGTGTAATAAACTAAAATAAGTATATATTTCTTTAACATTACTTCATAATCTTCAAAATATGAAATATCTTTAGCTAAATCCTTTCTAACTAAATTTAACCTATGAGCAATATAGTAATAGTTTATTATAAACAGATTTATTTGTTTAAGTTTTGCTGACACATCATTTTTATTACCTATATATTAAAAATAAAAAATAAATTAATCATATTAATAATTGAAATTGTAAATATATAATTATATATACTTAATATTACACTTGCTTCATCATTGTCAAAATGCATTAAATTATTAGTATTTAGCATTTTTATAACAAAAAAATTTTCCAAATTTTTTATAAAGAAATTAGCATCTACAGACCCCTGCCAAAAGTCTCTGAATACCATCTTTCAGGGCTATTTCATACCGATTACATCGCGTGACTGCATAATACTTCGGTCATGTGATGTTCGGACCTTTGTTTACTTGAATCAAACCAAATAAATACGTGTTTGGTTTGTTTATTTTGATTTTTAATCAAAATAAACTTTGTCTTCCCAAAACAACGAAAATGTCCAAGGAAT